CGAAGAGAAATTTCGTGTCTCTGCGCGGCCACGAAATATCCTCTATTTATTCCGCGAGTAATTAAAGACTAAACTCGAAGTGATCTCAAGATATCATGAAGTAGTCCGGTCTCATTTCGTGAAATAGTTGAAACAAGCCGAAAAGTCACGAACTTGCACGCCCAATCTTGTCCCGAAACTAGTGCATCATTTCATAACTATTTTTCATAGCGCAAACTACCTTGGGTCGCAGTAGCGCAATCGGCTAATCCCTCAACTTAGAGTCTCCTCTGATCTGACGGGTCACACAGGTAAGTCGGTTCAAACCCCGGGAAAGCCAAAATGATAATTCTTTCTTCCTCGAAAAAGAATAAATCAAAGAATAAAGAATAAATCAAAGAAATCAAAGTGATCTCGAGATATCTCGAACTAATTCGGCTCTCACTTCGTCAAATAGCCGAATAGAACCGAGAACCTACAGACTTTGCTTGCCCAATCTTGTCAAAAAATGGCAACTTTGATACATTCCTTAGCATCGCGAATCCTTTACTTCGCGCTCCGCCGAAGTAAAAATAATTATTATTTGGTATGAATTCCCAGAAATTCCATCTCATTGCAAGTGATGCATTCTGGGCTTAATATTGTTCAATGTAAACATAATCTGGAGAATATGAATTGGAATGAACCCCCGGTTCTTTGTTAAGTTAAAGTTTCTTTCCTTTCTATTTTTAACTACACTTTGGTTGTGAAAGACCATGCACATAAGGGTGACAAACAAAAATTACCTTCACAACTGCCACATCTATTTAATTGTATATTTGTTATGGTTCCTTATTATATGGCTGAGTCTGTTTTCGCCATGCGATTGGTCAATTTGCGGTCCGTAACTTGCTATACGGACGAAAATTTTAAAGAGAATGCTCATTTCGGAGGTCTAAATCTCTTTTCCTCGGAAAAAAATGTTGAAATAAAGTTATAAGACGCCTGTCAACCTGGAGGACTTGGATGTTGACTTTGGCCTTCAACATTTTAAACTGTGTTTATTTGTGAACGAAGGCCATGAAGAAACTAACTCATAATCTTATCGAAGAGGATTCTAGTCAGTGTTTGAAAATTTTATCGTAGTACACAGTTAAGAAGACGAAAATCGACTGGCAGAGGTTCGAGACGTTTTGCCTAAGAGAAAATGAGTAATTCCTTCAACAAATATGATAACAAACATACCTGCACCTGATCATCTTGACGAGCTTCTTTGCCATTTGCAGTGTTTTTTCAAAGACCAACGAAAGAAAGATAGAAGCGAGTTCGAGCCAGACACAATAATGTCCAGTTTTCAAGAGACTCCAGCGTCACATTAACGAGTGAATACTTACAGTGCTCTTAGTTTTGACCGAATAAACTTTTTTAACATGGCGAATTTGTTTTTACTTTCTCGGAAAGCCTTTGTTATGTGCTATTGTTTTCGTGCGCCAATAAAAACGTTCTTTTTTGACACCTGTCAAATGACTATCAAATCGTGCGTCCTGCACTTGTTTCCGGTCCCCCAAACAGGAAGAAGCCATATAATAAACATCTTATTAGCCTCGTTTTTTCGGTCCGTACTGTAAATTACGGATCCTCGTTTTTTTCTATCGGTTTATGGCCCAAGCGCGAAAATCGATGGAAAAAAACTCGGTCCGTAATTTACAGTACGGACCGAAAACTCGGCTAATAAGAGGTATTTATCCTAGTATCCTACACACTATTGGTTTGATTCCTTTCAGAATTTCTCTTTTTATTAATACCATGCTTTGCTTATGTAACTTCCTTTGTGTAGTTTGTGATGTCTTTGTATGAGCAAGCCAATTTAAAATTCATTACTTGTGTCCAGAAATTGGAAATAATTCGGATTTTTTTTCATGGTGATGATAATGATGATGATGATGATGATGATTATTATTATTTAACGTTTCTCATTATTTTTCATTTTATTTGTATAGGTAATCACATCATTTCGAGTGCAATTTTGAATAAATAAGCACGAGTAAATTTTTCACAGACCAACAAGAGTGGCTCATTTTCCTCGATTTTTGTTGACAGTATTTTTCTCTTAGCATCGCATTTTTAATACATTTAGCCTGAAAGACGTACTTTTCACTATGTTCGGGTTTTTGGGATATTTTGTTAACTTTTCTGTTGTTGTTTTGCGTACAAAATTATATCTCGTCGCCGTCTGCTGAAAAACCATGGCCATTTTCTTAAAATTTTGTTGTTAAAACAACTCTAATCCGATTGGTTCGTGTTGGTTTCCTTTGTGTTTTCAGCCAGTCATAAACCATTTGTAATTTGCACTCGTGTTACAGAAGAGCTGCACTCCTGTCTCAGCCAATCAGAATTGAGTATTTTTTTCGTGTATATTATAAGTTTATTTTCGCCTGTAGTACAAACCAGACACAACTTTAACTCTTCTCAATGTACGTGTGAGGGTAAATACTCTTTCCTGAATCTTTTTTTGGTTGTTAGTTTGTTTTTTAGCAATGTATCCTGTAGGTGTATTGTAAAATGTGAAAGTATTGTTAATAAATGAGAGAAAAAACCTGGATTTTAATTACTTTATATTGGGCACAGTTATTATTATTCCATCTGACGTATTCCATATAACGTCATATAGACGCTTGCGTTTAGGCGAGGATTAAGGATAGTGGTGATGTCTTTCATAAGGGACATGATTCTCATTAACTTGAAATCCTGGACACGGAAAGTCAAAGTACAAAGAAAAGTCACCATTTGAACACTTACTAGTGATAAATTTTTTGCAATCGTTTTCTATGTTTTGTTTTCTTTTAGGTGTTTAGCCATCCTGACCATGCTTAGAAATGGCATCTTTTCTGGAAAGATCCCGCAAGGTGCAAGTCACCATTTTGGCCTCTGAATGGGGATCGAGCAAAGGAGGGCTGTCCACCATAAACAGAGAATTAGCCATTCAGTTCGCCAAATGCCCTGAAGCGGAAATCACTTTCTTTCTTCCAAAATGCAGTAAAGAGGACAAAAAGCTAGCCCTCCAACACAACGTAAAGATCGTTGAGGCATCACGCCGACCTGGCTTTGAAGAACTGGAGTGGCTTACCTTTCCACCAGAACATTTACAAATAGATGTAATCGTTGGTCATGGAGTTAAACTCGGTAAACAAGCACAAATCATTAAAGAACGTAAGAACTGCAAATGGATCCAAGTCGTGCACACAGACCCAGAAGAACTGGGAATGTTTAAGAACTATTCCAACCCAATTTCCAAGGGTCAAGAGAAACATAAAACAGAGGTAGAGTTGTGTGAAATGGCAGACCTCGTTGTAGGAATTGGACCCAAATTGAGTGAGGCCTTCCGCTCGTATCTTCGTGGTTGCCAAAAAGAATTCAAAAGGGTGGTAGACTTTACTCCTGGAGTTTTTGAAGAATTTGTCAGCGTGATTCAGGACACTGAAGAAGGAAAGCAACGGAGTGTCTTGGTGTTTGGTCGTGGGGACGCAGAGGATTTCGAACTAAAGGGATTTGACATCGCTGGAAAAGCGGTCGCTGCATTACAAGATACACGTCTTGTGTTTGTTGGCGCCCTAGATGGAAAACACGAAGAAATAGCGAACAGGTTAATCGAATGTGGTGTTCCTACACGTCGCTTGAGAGTAAGAGGGTTTATTGACGACCGAGAGAGTTTGAGGCGCTTGTTTCAAGAAGTGGATCTTGTAGTCATGCCTTCAAGAACAGAAGGCTTTGGGTTGGCAGGACTTGAGGCCCTGTCAGTTGGTCTCCCTGTGCTTGTCAGCCGCAACTCGGGGTTTGGAGAGGCACTGTGCAGTGTACCATTTGGTTCGTCCTTTGTAGTTTACTCAGAGGACCCCACTGATTGGACCGCAGCCATAACGAAAATTTGGGCCAAGGACAGAAAAATACGACTTAAGGAAGTAGAAGTTTTGCGCGATTTGTACGACAAGAAATACAACTGGGCCAACCAGATAAACGATCTTGTTCACAAGATGATCAGCTGGAATCACGGTATGAATGTCAAAATTAATGATTTTTTTTTTCATTTTTTTTTTTAAATTAAGCACTATGACCATGCCTACTGATAATGGCATCCAATTTTTCTAATTGAACTCCTCCTGTAAATCAATAATTTTTGATGTTCAGGTCAGGCTGTCCACTCTAAAAAATTTATTTAGTATACTTAAAACGCTGTTCAGGCTGAAAAGAAACAAAGGTTGTTTCTTGTAAATGTTGTTAGATACACCCAATGTTTCCGGCTACTCACAATCCAGAAAACAAGAGAACCTGGACGTTTAGACTCTCTCATACATTCTTAAAAAGATAACAATCTTGTCCTTTTTTTTCAGCAGGTGATTTTTCAAATGTCCAGAGCTTCCCCGAAACAATAGGTGGAACCGTTTTATCTTCTCAGCTGGCTTCTCAGGCTACACGAGGCACGACAGAGAAACATGCAGGTAACCCTTAAATCTAAAGCGTGATCGGAATAAACAGCTTCGACGATTTCTCTTCCGATTCTGTTTTTAAGGTGGCTTACTACAGTTTTTTGGATGAAAACTATCGACTTTTTCAAACTGGAGCATTTTTTCTGAACTTTTTTTTTTCACTGTACTGAACTGTTTATGACCGCAATTGATGTAAATTATCATTTTACCTCCTTAAAACATTTTATTGCATAGTATAACGCGAAAAATAGTAACCTAGCATCCAAAGGGGGCTGGTAACTAGACCTTTAAAGGCTTTCTTCTCAAAAAGTAGCCGTATGACCTGGGTTCAAATTTTGAGGATTGTTAGGGAACATAAAGACGAAACTGTGAACATTTTTTTAAACCAATCCAGGACGTTTTTTTAGTTATTATAAAATGAGACAAAATTCCACATTTTTGGCTTTTGCCAAAATTCAGTCTATAGGATTCTTTCTTTCTCCGTAAAAACAATTACTTCTAAGTACTAAATAATACCCTGAAATTTTCAGATGGGGTCGTACGGCTAGTTTCCAATAGCGGAATCACCTTTTCAAGGCTATAAGAGCTATCTAGCCATAGAGCTAATTCCTAGTCCTTTCATAAGAGGATCTAGAGTAGAAAACTTCGTGGCGTTCACAGCTATAATAACTAAATTTCGCAGTGATTTAAAATGTCTCATGGAAATTTGTTGCTAATTCATGGTCGGTTACGCCATTATGGTTTTTTGCTGTCTGTAAGGAATGTATTAAAAAACAACTAAGCATATATGACAAACAATTTTAAGTCTTCCAGGTCAATTGTCTCAATTTGTTCCTGTAGTCTCATAACTGATCATATTTACCGTCGTTTCAAAAAAATGTCGACAAAGGAGTCATTCTGTTAGGAGCAACGCTTGGTTTGTGATGAGAATGGGGTTTTAAGCGAATAAGGTTTATACAGTGTACCTCGATTTTAACACACGTACTGTATAGTAAAGCAATTTACTTCAGTAGATCTAATAAACAATTCATAATTTTGTTGAATTCTTCTTTTAGATCCTGATTCAACTCAGTATACCTCCACCAATGGGAGATCAAATTATTCCCGGTTATGCCGTCTTCTAATCAGCTTGGGTTCAAAAGCCCTCAGAGAAACGTTTGACAGAATAATTCCACCGCAAAGTCTTCAGCGCATTCTAAAACGGAACCCAGTACACTCTAAACTTCAGTCACGTCGAAAGGAAGGGATACTAAACTCAGTCCGGTGGAGTAAATTGTATCCTACCACACCCTCCGAAGTTCCATCGGCAGGCTTCGATATCCCCCTGCTAATGGTTCTTCTAAGGACAATCTGTGATCTGAGTCCTCCACCCGCTGGTTGGGATGCTCCTCCTCTTACCGAAGACCTAAGCCGTGAGTCTGACATTGCGCGTCTGAAATATTTCTTCAACGCCGTGTCTAGTCATGCTGGAGAAGGTTTTGTTAGTGATGCTGTCTTCAGTAGCTACTGGCAGCAGATCCATGACACTTTGGTACGATTGGGAGGAGCTGATTATGAAGATGTTATTGAGCAAATGAGGTGTCAGGAAATGGACGTCCTAAGTGAGGAACATTTCAGAGAACTTCTCAAGCAATGGAGAAAGGTGGAGGAAAATATCAAAGACAAACTGAATGAACTGGAAAGTGCAGAGGCTTTAACGATGGCAGGTGAGCTTTTGTGGTAAAAATATGTCTGCTGTTTGTATTAACATGGCTAGAGTTTTTTAGAATTATTATAATGGCAAAAGAAAAATTTCGATGTGGTCAGTTTTGCAACGAACGGTAATTTTTGTCATGTGCTTTGCTATTCGGCGTATATATAACTAGGTCCTGCCTGAAAAAGTAAAATTGTCGTTGAACGTTTTTAATTTTTCGAAAGATTAGGCAAACGTAAGTTTTGCGAAGAGACCAGATGCTAAGTCTGAATCAAGCTAGGTCTTGAGTAAACAGTCTTCCAACGTACTGTGACAACTTTGTTGTGGGATTGCTATGAAATTGCAATCTGCAGATTAAGTGGAGGCGTTGTTCTCCACATATATTTTGTTTACTGTTATGGTCTGTTCGTTAAAGTTGAGCCCTTCTCCTACGGCAGCAATCATGGATAGGTTGAACTTACTGCAATATTGATCACGACGGATTTTTTTCCAAGGCCTTGAAATAAGTAATGTGTAGGCGCTAGTACCGTGCAGTAAAAATTGTTTTGTGTGGAAAGAACCCATTTTGGCAGGTTAAATGTAAAACAATAGCTTACGAAAATAATGATACTCACGAACGTAGAGAAATGTTAAAAAAGTACTGGTGAAGACTAGTAGTATAGTAAAGACTAACTTACGGAGGGATAAAAGTCTAGAGGAAAAGACTTCTGTCGTGCTAGCTGACTTGCATCCGAAGACGCAGTGAGAACATAAAGCTACGTCAGTAAGAAAGCAAGACTAAAAAAAGCAAGACTAATAACTAACCGTACCAAACATCTCGCATAAGACAACAAGAGTAGTTGGGAGATTTAGAGTCACGTTGTAGACAAGCGGCAAACGTGAGATCAAGTTTGCAATTTCTCAAATTAGGAGATGAGCAGGTAAAAACTGTCTTAAATATTTTTAGTTGTAGATTAACCTAAACCGTCTTTTTTTTTTTTAAAATATAATAAACAGTAGGCGACAAGTAAAGGGAACACTTGATGACGTGATACAATCTGACGTTTGCCGTAAACGTGATTCTAAACCGTGACGTAGACACAATCGACTACAACAGCAGGAATGATGTGACGTACAGCGAAGCGATAACAAGACTAGACTACAACCACATGAACGCAATGATGCAACAAAAAGCGTAACGAGACATGTCTAACATATATTGACATACGGGAATAAGGTTAATACCATAGGAACGAAATTATGTACGGGAAATGGGTTTGACCTGGAAATGATTACGCACGAACAAAACTAAAACAACAAACGAACAAGAAGTTTGATTTCACGAACGGACTCAAATGCGAGCTGCACGCGCAGTACATTCCCAGCTGAAAAAAGATTACTAAAAATTAATTTTTTCATACCTGTTGACCATGGCAAGTGGGATGTCGATTGGACAATCGAAGGATGCCTTTTTCTTTTTAGGGTTTTCTTTGGTGGCATAATAGACTGTTAACAGTCCCCTATGTTTTCGTAAGATCGCCAGGATCAAGCGCTTTTCGGTACGGGCGGCCTTTTTGATTAGGCTTTGATTCGGGACACTAAAACCCACACAGTAATTTTTAATTTTTTTATAAGTCCAAAACTGGAGTAAAAATTTTAGGTTTAGGATAACCCCTTTTTTGGGGTTATTTTAACTCCTCAATATCTAGGGTCATTTTTACTCCTGAAAAAGAGTTCTTTAAACTCCTTCTTGGAGTTGAAATAACTCCCCAAAAAATAACTGCATTGTAAGGAGTTAAATTAACCCCACTAGAGGAGTTATTAGAACACCTTGAAAATTACTGTGCAGATGGCCACCCATAACGGAAAGCGTTAGAACTCGACGATCTTACGGAAAAGTGGGGGAATGTGAACAGTCTAGCGGAAAAACAAGCTCATATTATGATCTTTTTAACTTCTGGCCGAAAAAACAGATAACAAACAGTTACGGAAACCTTTTTTCAAGGTCAAACGAAAATCTCTCTAATACGGTACGAACAAGGCGACACACGGAAAAGCGGTTTCGTACAATGTAAATCTCAAAGAGGTCAGTTTAGAAGACAATACTCATTTCACACCAACACATTTACCAACAATAGGACGTAAGGAAAAATGTTTAAAAGGTAGTGCTTATACGGTAAAAACTAGCGGAGAAATCTGGAGATGTTGGAGAGAGAGACGCGGGATGGAATCGGTAGGAATATTGGTTTTTAAGTGCGCTTTTTCGGTTTTTGTAGATGTCAGTATGAATTCTGTCCAACTGTCCAGTGTTACACAATTTCCACTATAAACAGTAATTATTGGACACCATGACCGACTGTTTATTGTTGAGCTGACAAGTTGCACGGTTGAGCTGCCTTTATTTCAAGCCTTGGTTTCCGCACAATGTAAATCTTAATGCGTGCATTTCTTTTCATAGTTATTTGCAGCATTGAAACCTAAATACACATTAAAAGTAATTTACACAAGCCAAACAAAATGCAGGTTACGATATTTTGCATTTCTTTTTTTTAGATTTTTCATTCCCAACCGAAATTGTGGAAAAGATTCGTCAGCTGTATGGAACACGTGAACAACGCCTCCAGCCCGTTCCTTGGTGTGAAGATTTCACTTTTCATCTGAATGAAATTTTTACCAGGTTGAAGATCGTGAGCAAAGATAAAACCCAAGGAGTACTTACTGACGATATTACCGATATGACTGCAATCTTTAAGCCGCACGTAGAATGCCAAAGGCCGCGAACAGTCTTGATTGAAGGAGACCCTGGCATGGGTAAAAGCACGTACTGTCAGAAACTAGCGTATGATTGGGCAACTAAGCAGAAGGAGTTGGACCCCTCTTTTCCAGACATTGACGTGCTATTACTTCTCAAATGTCATGAAGTGAAATCTAGCATCTTGAAAGCTATTGATGATCAAATTCTTCCTGCGGAAATTGACGATCAAGCTAGAGAATGTTTCTTCAAATTCGTTCGTGAAAATCAGTCGAAAGTTCTTTTAGTACTTGATGGATTAGATGAAATGGACTCCACTGAAATGAAAAGAATCTATGACTTGGTTGAGGGTAAAGAACTGTCAGGTTGTCACGTTATTCTCACATCTCGTCATGAGGTAGGGAGGAAACTTAGGAGGTATTGTGACACTCTGTGGGAGATTGTAGGATTCACCGCAGGAGATGCAAATAGTTTTATTCGTAGGTACTTTAAAAGCATCAACAGGGAGGACTTACTGGAGAATTTGCTACAAAAGATTCGCTATTCGCATGAGTTAAGAAACTTGTCCAAAAATCCCTTGAACGTAACCTTGCTTTGTGTTCTTTGTGAAGATTTAGAGGGCGTTTTTCCAACGAGCAGGACTGAATTGTACACTGAGATTGTCCTATGTGTTTTAAGGCGATATGAAAAAAAGCAAGGATTGTCGAGCAAAAGTGAAGACCTTATGAGCATCTACAGGGACGATCTAGTACATCTGGGACGAGTGGCGTTACATTCTCTTCAAAAAGGAGAGCTATACTTTGAAGAACACGAATCTGGAAGTACCTCTATTGCTTTATCGAAGTTTGGATTTCTTTCACTCCAGGCTAGTGGCTGCAAGAGGAGAGCTGTTGTGCGTTATGCATTTCTCCACAAAAGCTTCCAAGAGTTCTTTTCTGGATTTTATCTTGCTTGCCAAATACTTGACGGAGGTATTGATTGTGTCTCAGTAGTAAAAGACGAGAGATTCAAAGACGAACTAAAGCAAGTCTTTTTATTCATGACTGGAATTTTAGGCTCAATGAGTAAGGAGACAGCAGAGTCTTTTATTAAAATTATGGCTCAAAATATCAATTTAATAGATCCCGATTGTAAGCAAGACATTTGTGAATTATTTCATTTAGCTTTAGGCTGCATTTTAGAGTGCCCAACTTTATCTCGTACCCTAGGGTTACACCTTCACATAAGTGATTTAAATTTGAAAGGGATCATGATTTATGGTTCTGGTGCTACTTCCCTTTCCCAGGCTCTTGAGACCAACTCCTCCTTAACTAGTTTGGATTTGAGTGCGAACAGTATTGGTGATTCTGGTGCTACTTCCCTTTCACAGGCTCTTGCGACCAACTCCTTCTTAACTAGTTTGAATTTATATGCCAACCAGATTGGTGCTTCTGGTGCTGCTTCCCTTTCCCAGGCTCTTGCAGGCAACTCTTCCTTAACTAGTTTGGATTTGTATTCGAACATGATTGGTGATTCTGGTGCTACTTCCCTTTCTCAGGCTCTTGCGACCAACTCCTCCTTAACTAGTTTGAATTTGAGTTGGAACAGTATTGGTGCTTCTGGTGCTACTTCCCTTTCCCAGGCTCTTGACACCAACTCCTCCTTAACTAGTTTGGATTTGAGTTCGAACAGTATTGGTAATTCTGGTGCTACTTCCCTTTCCGAGGCTCTTGCGATCAACTCCTTCTTAACTAGTTTGAATTTATATGCCAACCAGATTGGTGCTTCTGGTGCTACTTCCCTTTCCCAGGCTCTTGAGACCAACTCCTCCTTAACTAGTTTGCATTTGAGTGGGAACCGTATTGGTGATTCTGGTGCTACTTCTCTTTCCCAGGCTCTTGCGACCAACTCCTCCTTGACTAGTTTGAATTTATTTGCCAACCAGATTGGTGATTCTGGTGCTACTTCCCTTTCCGTAGCTCTTGAAACCAACTCCTCCTTAACTAGTTTGGATTTGAGTCTGAACAGTTTTGGTGCTTCTGGCGCTACTTCCTTTTTCCAGGCTCTTGCGACCAACTCATCCTTAACTAGTTTGGATTTGAGTTGGACCAGTATTGGTGCTTCTGGTGCTACTTCCCTTTCCCAGGCTCTTGAGACCAACTCATCCTTAACTAGTTTGAAATTGAGTTGGAACAGTATCGGTGCTTCTGGTGCTACTTCCCTTTCCCAGGCTCTTGAGACCAACTCCTCCTTATGATCAAACCTAAACTCAAGCTTGTCATTTGGTGATTCTGGTGCTACTTCCCTTTCCCAGGCTCTTGCAGGCAACTCCTCCCTCACTAGTTTGGATGTGAGTTTGAACCGTATTGGTGCTTCTGGTGCTACTTCCCTTTCCCAGGCTCTTGCGACCAACTCCTTCTTAACTAGTTTGAATTTACATGCCAACCAGATTGGTGCTTCTGGTGCTACTTCCCTTTCCCAGGCTCTTGAGACCAACTCCTCCCTAACTAGTTTGGATGTGAGTTTTAACCGTATTGGTGCTTCTGGTGCTACTTCCCTTTCCCAGGCTCTTGCGACCAACTCCTTCTTAACTAGTTTGAATTTACATGCGAACCAGATTGGTGCTTCTGGTGCTACTTCCCTTTCCCAGGCTCTTGAGACCAACTCCTCCTTAACTAGTTTGGATTTGAGTGGGAACAGTATTGGTGATTCTGGTGCTACTTCCCTTTCCCAGGCTCTTGCGACCAACTCCTCCTTAACTAGTTTGGATTTGAGTGAGAACAGTATTGGTTATTCTGGTGCTACTTCCCTTTCCCAGGCTCTGGCAGCCAACCCCTCCTTAACTATCTCGTATTAGGGAAGTGAGGAAGATGAAGATGAAGAACTAAACCTTAGTTCTCCTCCTCCTCACTTTCCACTTTCTGAGTATGTAAGTAAGAAAATTTGTTTACTTAGTACTTAGCTATTTTTAGTTTCAAATATTCCCAGTAAAAAAAGTGAAAAAGTACAAGTAAAGTGTTCCTGACGTTGAGGAGAGAAAAAAAAATACCATCAATTTTTTTTGTTATTATTTTAACCCTGTATCTTCAAGTCAATCATATAATACACGTCAATCACAGATTGATAATCTGTTTGTTAAATCTGTTCATACCACTCAATTCGGCATTCGTTCTCTCAGTTACACTGGTCCAAAACTTTGGAATTCTTTATCTATTGATATTAAGAAGATCAAGCGGTTTTCCAGTTTTCGCCAATATATCAAGAATTCTGTGATTGATGGTTTTAATACTAGTATTGTTTCCTAATGTTTAACGATTATATTATCTTAACTACTGTTTAACTAATGAAGTAATACTTTTTTATCTAAAATAATTATTTTGTATCTATATTCCTTCTACTCATATTCTTGTTTGGGTCACCTGTTCGGTTAGTTCCACGAACTATTTAGGTGTCCCAAACTCTGCACATTGAACCTACAACTGAAGTTCTCTTTCCCTTCACAATCTCTCGATTTTATATTTTAAAACACTAATTTGTATTAGTTATAATTATTCTGTGTGAGTTTGAATAAAAATTGACTTGACTTGACTTGACTTGACATGATTTTCTTTTATTAGTGCTCGGGTGCCGAATCAAAAGAGAGTTCATACTTTAGGACCGTAATTGTGTGACGCGGAATTACATCGCACCAATTGAAAGTTTTTTTGTTTCACGAGGAGCCGCAAGCAGTAAAATTTCTGTCCCTTAAATTAATCAGTTAAATCATCAAAGTTGACAGGTCTTTCTGATGATCAAAGCGACCGTTCGGTTTACCATTTACACCTTCAGTGCGAAGACTGTCACGGGAACATTAACACCTTCAGGATAATTGCTTACCATAACAGTGGTAGGTCGAGCGCGTCTGGTCGGTTTCGAAGAAAGTGATCGTGACTGTTGTTTTCATTCAGTGACTGTGCGCGTTGATATGCCAACGTTTAAAACAGACTGCAACATTAAATTTTTGTTATAAAAGCAAAGAAGCTGCTGAGTAGAAACTAAACCGTCCCAGACTTATTCCGTTTCATTCGTGTACTTTCATTTTGATGGGGTCTGTATGATGAATTTACTTCTGCCTTCTAATCAGGCACGTAAACAGCATAGAGATAAAACATTTTATTTTGCTTTTGTGGAGTAAATTCACCTTTTAAAGGTAAACTAATGGACCACTTTCTCCGCGTACTTGTAAAAATAGGCATTTCATATGTCGCGCTACAGTGCGAAAATCTTCTTGTAGACTGGATTATGTTTCAGTATACATATTGTTAATCTTCATTTCGCGCCAGAATAAATTAGTTTGCGCGCAAAAAATCACAAGGTTTGTCCCACTTCGAGTCCACCTTCTGGAGATACCATGTTCATAAGCTTGGTAAATAGACGTGGGGCAGATGAAAGCCCATTAGGAAAACAAGTGTATTGGTATAGTTTACTCCTCCAAACAAAACGAAGATATTTACGATGTTCCTGTGCTACCGGCACTGAGTAATATGCATCCTTTAAATCAATTGTTGCCATATAACAACCAGGAGTTACTAACTTCAATATGGATTGCAGAGTATCCATCTTAAATTTATTGTATTCAACATGTGAGTTTAAATTCTTGAGGTTTAGAATCATTCTAAAGCTTCCATCTTTCTTAGGTCTGAGAAACACATTAGACAAAAATTCACCATGTGAATGATAAGCTTCCTCAATTACACCCTTTTGAAGCAATGTATAAATTTCCTGATCCATAAGGCTAGATTCCCAATCAGTAAACTTAATTGACTGAGGGGGCCTTAACTGCAATGGAAATT